TCCGCCACCTGTGTCGGTGGCCCCACTCAGCCCCCCCACAGGCTTCCTGCTGCCCCCCGCGGCTGAGCTGGACCCTTCCCGCAGGCTGCTGCTGCTGGGCAGCCCGCTTTCCCTGTGCCCGCTGCCGCTGTCAGCTGGAGGAGGAGGGCTACCTTTGGAAGCAAAGAACGAAGCATGTAGAACGCCCTTCTGTCGCCGCGCTGTTGTCGCGGCGGTGATGACGTGCGATGATGAAATCGCGGCTTTAGCGACGCGATTTAATCTCCGCTATTTTGCGTAGCGCGGTTTTGTCGTGCCACGGTATAAGATAACAGATATAAGTATAAACATGATTATGAATACAGGAATTGGATACGAATAAGTGGGGACAGTAGGACAGAGATGGTAGGGACATTGGTGCGCTTATGCACGACCCCTTACAGACCTCTTAGGAATGGGGTGAGGTCAATAGTAGACAGTTTAAGGTTAAAGTTATGGGGGTTTGGGGATGATTACAATTTATGATGATGCCTACATCGTAACCAACTCTTCAGGAAGAGTTGAAAGAGACCTCTAACTGAAATCCATTGCTGTAGAGCAGTGGCTTCCAATCTTGGGTACCAGGGTCTGGTTCCATGGAGAGAGGTTTTTCCATGGACCGGAGCGGGCGTGGTTTTGCCTGCTGCCTGTATCCCATGGATGGGGCTTTGCTTCTTTGCGCAGACCAGTTTCTGGCATGCTGGGGCCTGGTGCTAGTCCATGAACTGAGGTTGGGGGCCCTGCTGTGCAGTAGAAATTCATGGCCTGTATGTACCCTTGTCTGATTCAGTATATATATATATAGCTTGGATACGTTCCTCTGTCTTTACATTTAGTTAAAGAAAGCTTGTAAACAATCCATCTGTTCTGGTCTCTTTCTGCACACAAAATAAAATGTTTCTCACTTTAGAATGATAATAACTCACATTAGTGTTTGGTAGACAGGGTAGTAAGTATGTTTGTACTGGAATAGTTCCTCAAATTATGACGGGGGAAATTCCAAATCTTTATTGCAACTAAAATACAAGAAGTTAACACCAAAATTCCAGTCCTTATATTAGGCAAAATTATTCTCTACCACCCGCTTTCTTTGGTTAGGAAGCCGATACCACTTTAAAATACCATAGTTAGAATAAACTCTGAAATCATGTTACCCCCTCCAAAAAAAAGCTGTTTCAAATTTAAGAATTCTACGCAAGCTACCCAATCATTTTCCCTTACGTAGAATTCTTAAATTTGGAGAGCTGCTGCAGCATGCTCACCTATTTAGTTCCCCCACCCCCCGCACATACTGGGTCCCTAAAGCACTGTGCCTACTTTGCCTCCACCACTGGATTCCAAACAGTCCTCTTCCACCTCTTAAAATCCATTGCTTACCTACTGAAGATGGGCAAAAATCAGGAGGCTGGGAAGGAGCAGGCCATATATTGTGAAACTTGAGCAGATACTGGAGAAAGTAACTTCATTGTCAGCAGACCCATGTCAGGTTACAACATTCAGCCTTCTCTATTCAGCACGAGGAGGAAACCTTTGTGTTTTGTGGAGTAACCCAAAAAAGCAGATTCTTTTTTTCAAAGCTGCTTGCTTTGAAAGGTCCATCATAACTTCGAATAGTTGTTAAGTGACGGCTACCTGTACTTCAGTGCTACCATCAGGTTCACATTATTTTTGAAGTTTACAGTCATCACTTATAAAGCCCTTTATGGTATTGGACCTGGGTACTTGAGAGACCGCCTGCTGCCAATTACCTCCCAAAGACCCATTAGATAACACAGATTAGGCCTCCTCCG